AAAGAGCTATCATAGGGTGCAAAGGACCACAGCCTGTCCCTGTCCCCATCACCTCCCTCCCCAGCCAGGGCCAGACCCACTAGCCAAAACAAGACACAATCAGGAGGACATGATCTCCTTTACTGTGGTGCGTGATGATGATCCCATCAAGATGCTCCTGGAGCTGGGACTGATGCCCTGCACCAGAGCAGCCCTGTGAAGCCACAGCAACCCAGGGAGAGGAAACCTGGCATAAAAACTTCAGCCACTGCAAAATCAAGGGATTTTTCCTGGTGAACCCCATGTCCTGACAGCCTGGGTCATGAGCCTTTAGGATGGGCCCAAGAGACCTGGACAGAGGGGTGAGCTGTAGGGATGTCCAGCCACCTCCTGCCAGGTGGCAAACCCAGGATGTCCGGGCAGGGGAGTGGGATGTGGAGCAGACAGAGAGAGGAAAACATGCAAAAGGACACAGAGGAACAGAAAGGAGCTCGTCCTGGTCACCTACTTGCCAAGGCTGCCCCACGGTTTTGTAATGCCAGATAAGGAGCGTCTTAATGGTAGATTACACAGGCTGCTTAAGCGCTTTGCAAACAGTACTTACAACCTGCCAGGGAGAAAAATATCCTGCTGATGGGAGAGGGACAGTCCCAGCACTGCTTTCCTAAGGACACCTGCCTTCCCCCAGTGCCCAAAAGGTGCAAAATTAAAGGACAATGGCAGTCTGGCAGCTGACCCTGGCACAGGAAGGGTCAGGCAGCCATCAATGCTGCTCCCATCCAAAACCCACCCAAACTTGGCTTCTCTCCTCTATGCACAGGCTGGATAGGAACAAACACAAGGAAATATCAGGCAAACTCATCCGTGATTTATAAGGTCTGGAGCATTTCCATCCCAGGAGGACTTCGGCAGGAAAATCCCCCTTTTTCTCAGCTCTTTTTGTAAGATCTGAACTATAAAGCCCAGATAGAAATGAGCAGTTGGAGCATCCACCTGGACTGCTTCTGCTGAATCAAGCTTCCCCTCGATGCCTCACTCCCCTCTGGAAATAAACCTCTGGCTCTGTCTGCCCACCACCTGCCTGCTCCTGTGGGAAAGAAACCAATATGAGTGATGAGCCCAGTGAAAGTGGTCAAGGATTTTCACTCTAAAAAAAGTTATTTTTAGCCAAAGTGCCCAGCTCTGGAAGAGGCAGTTTTTTACCCAGAGAGCCCTGTTAGCACCTCAGTTTTACTGCAAAAGATAAAAGTAATGTTTTTCTTGAGTTTTCTTCAAAAAAAGGATCATTGAGAATGGTTCTTTCCCTGCAGAGGGATGGAAAGGCAAAGTCCGGTGTGTGGTAACTCACTGCAAGTATTTGGTGAATTTTGAGGGGAGAAAATTAAATTCAATGAATTAATTTTTTTCCATGGCAGAGCGGCTGGCAAACCCAACTGGCAGGGCTTTTAAGACTAGTTCTAGCAAACCTCAAATCTTAATCCCATGTGCCCAGGTCCTGCCCATGCCAAATCTCATCTCCCAGCCCCTTCCCCAGCTCCAAGGTGCTGCAGCCCCTACCAATGGGGCTGTATAGAGGAATCCCCCTGCAGAGGTCACCCCATTTCTGATCCTGAGGCACCAGCGGCTCCCACCACCTTTGTCCTCAGCATCCCGATCTGGAAGAGCACCTCTCCATCTCCCAACACCCACCATGAAACCAGCCTCCTCCATAAACTAGGCCAGCAATTAGCAGCAGTCATTAGCTTTCCTACACCCCAGGGATGCTGGGCTGGGCAGCCAACCCCCGGCAATTATGATCCCTGACACCATCCCAACCAAACACCCCAACATCCCAAAGCCAGGTTATGGTTCAGGTTGTGCCACTGCAACCCCCCAAAAAAAGCTGGAGCCCTTTGCAGGTGACTCTTCTCAGGGGTATTTTTTGCCCTTGAATCCTTGGGAACAGCCTCGGAGAGGAGCTGGGGGAATTCTCCCAAACCTTAATTGAAAGAGGCACTTAATGAGGAGAGTTTCTTTTGTCTGTTAATTGAAACAGGTTCTTAGCTACAAAACTCTCCATGAATTTTAAGTGGGTTCACAGAGGGGGAAAATCCACTCAATGAATTGGGTTTTCCTGCTTCGCCATGTCAGTTCCTGTGGCTCTCCAAGCACTCAGGAGCCTTTCTGGATAATCAGGGCCTAAATCCCGAGTATTTTAAAAAGAAAAAGGGCAAAGGGAAAATAATCCCACATGACTTTTTATATTTCATGGAGCAGCAGTCTGTGCTCTACCCACAAGGTCACAAGAGGACTCCTACCAAAAAAGCATGGACTGAAAGCCCCTTAATGCCACCTTTTGCAGCCTCTGACATTTTGCTTGGCTAGACTTTCCCTGCAGAGGTGTTGATCCTGCTGTGAGTGTGAGGGTGACCCTGGATCATAGAGAGCTGCAGGGCAGCAGTGATTCCCTCAGCTCAGCCAAGGCAGCGCTGTGAGACTCAAAGGACAGGCCAGCTGCTTCTTTTTTTTGACAGCTTCCCACTACGGGGATCCTAAAGTTGGTAGGAGAGCAGATCCATCGCACCACAGAAGAACTGCCAGCTGTTCTGGGGAACACAGGCTGCCCTGCAAGTGCCAGCCCAGCCCCAAAACAGCCCTTTTGCAAAGCAGCATCCATAAAACCACAGCATGAACCAGCTTACGGAGAGCAACTGACCCAGCCAGTGCCTGCACTCTGGAGAAATCCCTGCAAGGATGGAGCTGGCCCTTTCTCCCAGGGACTCCATGGGATGCTCCTGCCAGACCACATCCATCCTGCATGATGCCTCGATGCTTTGCTGAGCTGCAGATGACCTCCACTTCCCTGCAGTCTGCCAGGACAGATGCTGCCAGGAGCCCAAAGCACCCCCAGGGCCGGGTGCTTGCGGCCAGTATTGAACTAGAAGTCGGAGCAGTCCCTGCCGTGAGCGTGGGTGTGCTCCTGTGATGGCTCCTGGGGTGGCAGGTCCTTTGGGAAGGGCTGAGCAGCACACACTGATGCACAGGCGGGATGCTTCCAGGGCCAGCACTCTCCAAGGTCATGGCCAGGCCAGGCTAGAGGTCAGATCTTTTATTAGACCAATGGACACAGTTGGAAAAACCGACACATTTTGGCTGCACAGACATTCCTTGGACATCTGTTTTTTCCTAAAGGTATTAGTTAGGCTAATAAAAGACATTACCCCTGCACACAAACTTTGTCACCCTTAAAACGCACCAGAGGTTGCAAGGCTCAGCAGCCCATGGGGAGCAGGAACAGGCACAGAACACAGGAGGCACTTGCTAGAGCTGTTTTGTTTTCACCCCCTAAAAGAGCACTGGCAAAGCCCATGCCTGCCCCCGGCAAGCACAGCACTGGGGCTGGCACCCAAGCTGCTTCTTGCCTCCCCTATTTCCAGATCCGTGTCTGAGGTTGCAGGAACAAAGAGGCATGTCCCAGGGAAGCCTGTTGCTTTAGTTTACCTTCTCCCCAGCTACAGCATCAGCCCTGTCTTTTCCTTCTCCTCCGCAGGGGCTCCAAGCCAAGCAAATGCTCAAGGAACCAACTTTTGATGGCCCACCTGCACCTCCCCATGCTTGTGCTTTCAGCTTGTGAGAGCTGATAAACTACTGGCACCATCTGCTCCTTCACATGACCCTGGACAGCAGGGCCAGGGGACCACACTGCTCCTGGCCTGGGGACATTCCCCATTCAGGTGGGCTCCCATGTTCCCACCAAGCCATCAGGCAAAGCATCCCCATTCCAGGTACCCACACAGACTCCTTCCCTCCTGGCCTCAATCCCACTATCCAACATAAATCCACGAGGCCAGCAATGCACCAGCACAGTAAGGGATGGATCAAGGCTGATAGAGGAGACTGAAAATGGCCTGAGCCCTGTGTCCAGGCACTGATAGCAGTTTGCAGCCATATCTTTAACACTTTTTTAACACATCCCCTTTTTTTAAGGGCTCCAAGCCCTGAGGCTACAGGGCTGTATAAGGCTGTGAAGATATAGACAGTGTTGGGAAGGAAGGGGATACTGGGTGAGGTGCTGACAAGTAGCTAGAAAACACTTGAGTTTTGCTGGGGCCAAGGCATAGGAGGCAGAGCCAAGAGAGCAGCAGGGTACCCCAGGGAGCAGGGACAACTTGGGGGCTGTCATCCTTCTACACCATACCTAGAGCCATGGAATGAGATACACATCTCCCTGTGTGGTGCAGGGAGCAGAGCAGGACATCCCTCACTGTACATCCAACCCTTAACATGCCCAAGCCCAGAGAGACAGAAAACACTTCTTCTTCCCTGCTTTACATCAGTGATGAGACCTTCCAAGATACTTTGGGTTCCCTGGCAGAAGGGGGACAACAGGGCAGAGCTCCGGGGAGACAGTCTTGGTCTCTCCAAGACAACCTCCATCTTTGGACCAGACAAGTAGCAGAGTTGAACTCCAGACATGCCCACCATGAATACCAGGGCAATTCCTCCCGAGACACCCCACATTTAGGGATCTCTTGACCTTCCTAAACCCCTCCAGGAAGGCTCGTGCCACCTGATGGTTGTGCTGAGGATCCTGTCCCCTTCCTGGGACAGAGGGCTACAGCAAGGTCCTGCTGTTTTTGGAGAGGACATGGGAACCGAGGCACTCCCAACCGCAACCCCCTCACTGCTGGCCAACAGTCACAAGTGGAATTTACAGCTTGATATTGATTTGTCTTCTGCAAGCTCTGCCATTGCAGTCGGTGGCTTTTGCAGGAAAACAACATGAATCATAACCTACAGGCCGCCATCTCCCTGCATCCGCACGGTGTGACTCATCCAGCCCTTCCAGGGGTCTTGGCACTGCTCCTCCACACCTGGGGATGGGCACAGAGAGGAGTGCGGGGGCACCATCTCCCACTGGCACCTGGGGACTGAGTTGTCACAGCCCCCCAGGTCTCCAAGAAAGCAGCATCACACTTTCCCTCCACCTGGGTCCTCCTGCCCCCATCTCAGGCTCCAGCACCACCAGCACACACGTGGTGATGGCAGAGGTAAGAACAAGCCAAGCAATGCCACCGCCAGGGTCAAAAACACAAAAGGAAGCCAAGGGCAGTCCTGAGGTACTGAAGTTGAAAGGGTTGGAAACATCAGTGAGAGAGACTGGTAACACCTGTCCTCCGAGGCCATGAAGCAGGCACAAGACACAGGAGCTTAATATCTCGCTTCTCTCTTTGTCTAGAGTCCTAACCTCATTTTAGCAGGCTCTACCCCAATACCCAAAAGTAAAACCACAACTCATTAAGGTACATCCCGAAGGCAGAATTCCATAAAAATCCTTTTAAGCAAAACCCTCCATGACCCTGCCCCAGAGCATGAACAGCCAAGAGAGCAGCTTCATCTCCGGTGCCCACCCAGAAACCTCCAAGACAGGATGCTCAGTGGGATCACAACCCTCTGTGCCCAGCCCAGCACCCAGAGATGCCCCCAAAATCAAACCTGTTTATAAAAGCCTGCAGAAGGAGAGGAGCAGGCGGTGCTGGTGACACTCTGCAGCAGGGACACGCTCGCCTGTGCCATATTTCACCATGACACGCTACTGAAGAAAATATTAATCATTCCCTCTTCATTCCAGCCTGGTTTTTGACTGAGGCGTCTTTTTCCTTCTGTTTAAATTACCACCAACAGCGCATTAAACATGACATGTTCTACAGTACTGACAATACCGCACAGAGAGGGGGAAAAACGCAAAACAACCTGTACTGAAAAGTCTGTTTGGCTGGGATGGGTTTTCCATCCCCACCCAAACACAGCCACACCAGACCCACCAGCTTCCCAAAGGCACGAGAAGCGGGAAAGGCTTTGTGTGAGTGAGCTTTCCCATCAGCATCTGTGTCCCGTGGCAGCGACACCAGGTTGGAAGGGAGGAACTTGGGGACTGCAGCTGCTGGGGTGACATGGTACGTACCAGGGGCTGGGTGAGGTGAACCTCATGGGAGGCTTGGGAAGGTCCTGTCTTCCCCTACGCACACAAGGATGCCCCAGACAGATGGGCATTGGAAAACGTGAGCTTTGCCTTCACCATCCTTGCCCAAAAGAATCACCACGGGTGAAGGGAAGATGCTTGACAATCCCACCAGAGACCAGCTATGTTGGGGTTTATTTTCCTGCTGTATCAAGTCCCGCACGTTTTTTCTATTGTTTAATTTCCTTCTTCTCCACCCACGGCAAGTTCACTCAGAAGCGAGGAACTTATTTCCTATTGAATTCATCCTGGTTGTTTTATTTGGAATAGGACAACTTCCCTCAGCCATGGTCGCTGTGTGCAGCTGAGGGGAGAAGGCACAGGGCCGCTCACCTCCCCATCTGCACCAGCCCCAGGGAAAAAACACTCTTAAGATCAGAGTAACAAAGATGCTGCTTTGCTGCAGGAAGAGGTGCTGTTCCAAGGCTGCCGGTGACAAAGGGGCACTGCAAGGCACTTGCTTCCCAACACTGTGAGCACCAGTAGCGGGAAGATGACCATTTCATGGTGTGCTGTGGCAACTGCTGGTTGAGACCACAGGAAGGGAGAGCCCCAGTGCTGGGACAAATTTGCAGTGCTGGGAGGGAGCTCAAGTCTTGATAGGAAGCCAAGCCTTCCAGGTGATTCCAAAGGTTGCCCAAGCTGGTGTGTCTCTGTACCACTGGGTATCAGGGGCTGCCCCCGTAAGCGGTGGAGGCAAACCCAAAATACTTGGGGAGATAACACACACAGCTACGCGTGAGAGGCCCAGGAGCTCACCGGTGGCTGGGAAAAAGCCAGGACCTCTTCCAGAGGTGGTGGTGAGGTGCTTCACAAGGGACGCCAACCAGAGTGGCCAAGCCGTGCCACACGCAAGGTGTGAACCTCCACAGCGGCTCTGGGCCGCGCTGGTCCTGCACGGCTTTAGCCAACACCGCTCGCACCCCTGCGGAGCGGGGACGCCCCAGGCCTCGCCTGCTCCCGGCCGGTGCCCGGGCAGTGGCGGGGCGGGGGCACCCCCGGCCCCCGCGCGGCCTCCTCCGAGCCCCCCGTGCGGCGAGTGCCCCCTCGGCCCGGCGGGCCCGCGGGGCGGCTCGGGGCGCTGGGCTCCCCGCCGGACCCCCCGCTCCGCCCGGGCCGGCTCCTCCCGAGAGCACCGGGGGGAGCCGCGGTTCCCGGCGGGGCGGGAGGAGCCGCCGGGCCCGGTCCCCGGCGCAGCCCGGCCGGGGCGGTGCGGAGCCCGGCCCGCGCTGCCTCCCGCTCGCCCGCCCGTCCGCCCTTTGTCTGCGCCGCCCGCCCCGCTCGGGCCGTACCTGCCGCCGCCGGGCCCGCTCCGTCAGGCCGCCGCCTCCACCGCCGCCCGCTCCGCCGGGCTCCGCCGGCCCGGCCCCGCTCGGCGCGTCCCGCCCGCCGCCCGGGCAGGCACCGCCCCCGCCGCCCCCCGCCAGCACCGCCCCGGGGGCCGCGAGGGGCTCCCGCCGCGCCAGGGGCAGGGCTGACTGCGGGGATCGGGGCTACCCCTGCCCCGGTGCCCCCCCTGGCCAGCTCCTCGCCCCGTCCAGACCCCGGGGTGACCGTGAGCCCGGCGATAATCCCCCGGCGGGAGGGCTCTGATCGCCGGGCTCCGAGCGCCTGCGATGATCCATGTGCCCGGCGATGCTCCCGCCAGGCTCCCGCGGTTCCCCGGGATGAGCGCGATGGGGTGTGCGAAGAGTACGGCACAGGGAGTGTGATAGAACTGGGGTGTCAGGCTCACGGCTCCTACATAGAGCCCTTTCATCCTTCCCCCAGTGTATGCACACCCTTTTGTGTCAGAGTTTAGAAGCCAGCCAAGCCTGAGGTTGTCCCCATCCTCCTCTCCAGGCGCAGAACCCAGGTTCAGAGTGCTGGTACACCACATTGTTTTAGCTTTTCTGCCCCGGCTCCAAGACAAGCTCAAGGGCCACATCTAAGTCATGGGCTGGCTGCCTCCAACCTGCATGCACATACACACAAAATTCCCTTCATTCCTCAGAGAGGGGAAAAATGAGCTTAACGTGGCTCAGCTGCTCCACTCCTGCCCCTGCCCTGCCCTTGGAGGCTGCTGAGGACACCAACAGCTTGCAGGGACATGCTCCAGTCCAGGGGAAGGGAGCCCACGTTAACCACCAGAACGAGCCGCCCAGGTCCATCTTACTGCCCATGTCAGAAGGGATGTGGTACATTAGGACGACACTGTCAGGTTTCATGTCCAGTCCATGGGGACAAGTTTCATGTCCAGCTCACAGGGATAGGATGTGGCAGGTCTGCTGGGTTTGGTTTAGGCAGCATGTTCTGGGAGAGCTTCCGACTGAACCCAGTCGAGGAAGCAATTTCAATCAAATGAAACAGACAGATAAACAAACAAAAAGAAAAGAGGAAAGGAAATCGTAGGGAAAGAGACACAAAGAATGGGAGACAATTAAGGCTGCAAATTTTCTATCGGGCTCTGAGGCGTTTATTGAAGTCAAAGATTTCTTTATCCTTAAACATTTCACTTCCCTCACAAGCCTTTTCTCTGAAGATCCCTGAATAACTTGCCAATGCCAAAGTTACTTGAAAGCTCAGAAAACAAAAAGGGACAAACAGCAAGTTTTTAAACTGCAAACTGCTGTAAAAGGTATTAAAGGGATTACAGTTTTTTTCAGCCTTAAATGATTTGCAAACTCAGCCTGAAAAAAGTATCTCCCCCGGGAACAGCATTCCGAGGCCATGCTAACCTCTGCCAGAGGAGATTCATGCACAAATCATTGAGCAAAAAGCCAGCAATGAGTAATCAAAGGCACGCACCAAACTCCAAGAACAATCTGCAGAATCCACAATCTCCAGTGGTAAAGTTTTCCACTGAATAATTTCTTCTGTGAAAAAGGAATTCGTTGAATTCTTGGTCTGACATTTGCTAATCCTTTTTTTTTTTTTTTTAAAGAATGACTGACTCGCGGGAAACAGAAGGCTGCTCAGAAAGGCACTGGGGTTTATTAATACCAGCTCTGCCATTTTACATGAATATCAGGTAGCTTTTTTTTTTCCTGTCTTCTGTTTGCAAACACAAAGGAAACCAGTTCCTTTCCTGTATGCTTTAACTCACAGGCTCTTCTTCAGCACATCTGTCAGAAAGCAGTTCAGCGGCTTTCCTCCACATTGTCTCCAATTTATTAATCAACACTTTCAGCTCCCTACTGAGTTACAGCCAAATTATGGTCCTTGAAGTCCATGGCAGCACTTCCACTGACTTCATTAGGACCAGAAACTGACTCTTGAAGTCTCTGCCAATTCCTTAAGTGCTTTAACTTCAGTGTTGGACATTTCTGTTTTAATCTTCTTAAGCCTGTTTCTGACACATCATTTACATGTGTGCACGCACAAACTGCCTTTCTGAAACTAAAAACTGCCTTAAAAGCAAACGGAAAAGTTTTATTCTTTACCTGTGAATGGGTGTACTCAGGACCCTGAATGTGTCTTTGCCAGGGCTGTTAGAGGACAGATGCCATTTTGAGGGGCCTGTTAGAGAGTCCCAACCACAGACCCTGCTCCATACCAGGGAGACAGCTGGGGTTCATCCTGCTGTGGGAAGAGTTTTGGCCTATTCCAGCTCCAGTCTCTGTTTCAAGGCCACCACTGGTCCGGTGGCTTGTGAGAACAAGTCGCAGCCATGGAAACTGTGATATTTGAGCACCAAAAATTCCTGCTTGCGGGAAGCCTGGAGCTGAGACCTTCACAGGTCAGGCCATTTACTTCCCACTGACCCCTCTCAGCCTGAACTAGTTTACTCCAAGGCCAAAGCCCCGCAGGAGGAGAGGTTGGGAGCTGCGTTCCCATTTCCCTGGCCTTTTGGTTTAGTCACTGGCTGAGTTATGAAATCTGCCTGCAGCATAACCCTGTCTGTGGGTTTCCCATGGGCTGGAGAGGCTATTACCGAGGAGCAGTTGGAATGTTAATTACCCATTAAGGAACTAAATCTGGGGGATTTCTCAAAGCAAATAGACATAATCTCTGGTACTGACCCCACCCTGGCCTGAGCATCCTTCCCTTCCCGGCAGGCTGGAGGATGCAATCCTTGCAGCCTCTGCCCAGTGCCTCCCTTTTTGCTCATCTCAGCCTGGGAAGACTCTCAGTGCTGTCCTCGGCAGTAGGACAGCCTGGCTGGAGCTGGCATTCAAGCCCCAGGAACATTTTGCAGGGTAGGCAGTTCTCTTGAGGATACACCAGGACTAGTGCAAGGCAAAGTGAAAGGGAAGAATGTGTCCTGGGGAGTGGGGAAAGCCCCATCCTGCCCAGAGGGACCAGGAGCAGCCTGTTTCCCAGCAGCTTTGGGGCTGAGGGCTCTGTGGAATTTCGAACCAATGGGTAAGTTTTTAACAGCTCATCCGGTTATTCCAGCCTGTTACCCCATAAATGGAGGCCTGTCTGTTTCCTTGCCTCTGGTTTGCATCTGTTCCAGGGCAACATCCACAGGCTGGTACAAGCCTCGCCAAGGATCATCACAGCCAGCCCTGCACACGTGGCTCCATGGGGATAAACCCACCCTGCCTGGCTGCCACGTACCCCTGACTGTCCCCAGGCTCCTCCTCAGAGGGGTCACCCGCAGCCACACATGGCCTGATGCAGGCTGACCTCTGCAATACCCCCTGCTGCTGACTCCTTCCTTCCCCTTTCCTCCAAATCAGGCCACGGCTGCTGTCACTGGAGCCCCCGGCTGGAATTACAGCAGTGCTGCCAATGTATATTTTAAAAACCTCTCCTTCAGTATTTAAACTGGAAGATCCCTGATGCAGTGGCAAACGGGTAACAAAGACAGGAGTGAGTGAGGGTGGCCCACTAGGTCAAGACGGGCATCCCTGAGCACAGGGGGTTTTCCCAGGGAAGAAACCTGGTACGTGGAAGTGCAGAGAGCCTTATGGACCAAACCTCCTCTCCCTGGTGGCAGCGCCAGAGGTTTGCAATCTGCCTCTTTTCCAAAGGTCTCTGATGTTCCCCGTCCTTACTCTCCTGAGTGTTTTCTAAATTATTTGGAACCAGAAAATATTTGCTTGCAGGATCACCTTTATGTGAAAATGTACAAATTTTGCTGTAGAGCTGGAACAAACCTCCCTGATCACAGCTCTGGTCCCTGTGCCATCGCTCAGAGCTGCACAGCCTGTGCTGCTCCCATCAGCTGCTGGAGCTTCCCATGGAGAATCACTAGACTGAAACCTCTCCCATTATCTCCTTGATGAAAAATACTCCAGACTTACACATACTGAACCACCACACACATTCCCTTGTGGGTGAATTCCCAAGCACATCCTTTTAGCCAGGGCTCCTGCCTGAGCTCGGGGGAGGGACAAACAGCTGCCTGGAGACCCCCACAACACCTCGCTGTGCTCAGTCCCCACAGCGGAGCAAGGAGGAAAGGCCTGTGCCCCAACATGGCTGAGTGCCGGCTGTGGCTGTGTAGCCAAGGGGAAAGGCCCTGCGTGCTGGAATTACGGCCATCTTCATCCGGTTGTTTTTTACACTGGTTCGTTTCCAAAGCTCTCCCGGGGCAGGTCTGCCAGGAACCCAACCACCCAACCGCGCCCGCCTCCATCTTGGGGAGGGGCAGAGGGACAGGAGGTGGCAGCGCCATCTTGGGAAGGTCGAGCCGAAGGGGAGAGGTAGTGGGGCAGCCGCCATCTTGGGGAGGTCAGTGGGGGAGGCAGAGGAGGGTGGTGACGGCTCCATCTTGGGAAGGTCGGGGCGACCGCCATCTTGGGGAGGTCGGCCCTGGTTGTCCTCGGGAGCGCCGGTCACGGTGTGGCGGCGGCGTCCGGCGTGGCGGGATCGGGACCGGGATCGAGATCGGGATCGGGATGAGGACGGGGATCGGGATCAGGGCACAGCCTTGTGCTTGCCGTCGGGGACACGCCGCGTCCCTCCATCCCTTCCGGGTGAGGCGGTGCCCCCCGCCCCCTGACCCCGCCGCTTCCTTTCCGTGGCGGCCGCCGGAGCAGACGGGCAGGTGAGTGCGGGGCTGTCCCGCATCCGCCGCCATCCGCCTGCCCGCGCCTCGCCGCGGGCCCCGGGCTCTGCGCCCGCCCTCACGGGCCCGGGGCTGCGTGGGGCAGCGCTCCCGGCGCGGGGCGGGCGCGCCCGGCCGAGCGGGGCCACGGGCCGCAGGCGAGCCCAGGGCGGGCGGAGCGGAGCTGCCGGCGGGAGGTGCAGGGCGGCACGGCCCTGAGCGGCCGGGGATGTGCCCCCGAGCGCGGGAGAGCGGCGGGGTCGTCGCCCGGGGGTCGATCCTGGCGGTACAGCGTCTGCTGTGTCGGCCTCACTGGGCTGGGGACGGCGCTGTCCGTGGGGCCTGCGGATGTGTCGGGAAGGGGATGTGGCGCTGTCGGGGCGGCCGCGCAGGCACTGGTGTAAATTAATGTTGTCTGCGGAGAGGGGACCAGCGAAGGTGAACGCAGGTTCTCTTGGAGTTGGTTTCCTGAGCGAAGTGGTTGAACATCTCACTTGTGCA